ATAAATATTTATAGTATCTCCTACCTTGACTTTAGATTACTGCACTTAATCTAATGGTTTTCAATTACTCCATTAACAGTGAAACCTACGTGATCCTATATATTCATACCTATTACCTATGTCCACATTAATCCTAACTCAACATTTTTAATAGTTTTAAACTCAATATTTTCAACAATTCCAAACTCAATATTTTCAATAATTCTAAATTCGATATTTTCAATAAATTCTAAACTCCGCCTTAGATTTTAATAATTCACAAAAAAAACCTGAGAGGAATGTATCTGCCTACCTATATACATATATACCGGACAATTGAATATATTTATATACTTATGTAAATATTAAATATGTATGTACGCTATAGTAAAAAGAGAAATCAATCAAATCGTACTCACCTTGGTCTCCAGCGATGATGGTACGAGCATGCTGTCGAGAACCTGTGTGGAGTTAGAGAATTTACTATAAATGGTCATACATACATATTCCCTCCTTCAGCCTACACTCTGAGGTCTTTACCTACTGCCCTACTCACTCACTCGTGGTTCGGGCATCGAGCGGGTCATAGTACCGCGCGGCAACTTAATTCTTGACACGAATGCGGAATAAAAAAATTACTACATACAAAAACTAAAAATTAATAATAATTATAAACTGACCAAAAAAAAATCTAGGAAAAGTGCTATGCCGTCTTAAACGAGGATTGCAAAAAGTGTGCAAAATCTAAATTGTGTACCTGTGTATAAGCAACTACATACGGGCATACGTACATACATACATACATGCAAATATTCATCAGAGTATGTATCGGCGTATGTATATGCTTATATATGTCCGCTCATAAACCTATGTACATACGTAAGTCAACATGCAGTTGGAGAAAAAGGAAAAAAAAGTGATATCGCTAAAACTAAAATTCTGAGTAACAGCAAACAAAACGCATATGAATCAGTGATCACTTACATGTTACTCAGATGTGATACTACAAAAATTTTATGCTAAGTGCAGATTTCCCTAAAAACTAAATACCTGGCATATACATATATGTATTTTTACTTATAAAACTGAAAAAAAAAACGGAATTTAAAAAGCAAAGGAATACAGCTGTGAAAAAGGTAACTACAACTTTAAGTACAAATTTAAGAGAACTCAAGAAACCTATGCAAATGACCATAACTAAGAAAATAACAAGAGAGCTGATCGCTGTGTTTTCGGCGCTGCTGCTGGTCCGTGGCCATAGTTGCCAACTTGGTGCTTTAGGCACTAGATTTAGTGCTTTTTGAAAATTAAAACGCCAAAAAAAATGGTTTAGTGCCTAGTGCCCTTTTTAGTGCTTTTTTCTGAACTAAAATTTCTGAATTTACACGAATCTACAAATTTAAATGCACTGAAATGCAAACCATGATGAATAAAAAGATGAAGTTGCAAACCCACGTTCTTGCGTTCTTGTTAAATTGTATTCGCATTGAAAATGCTAGCACGCAGATAGGTTAAGTATTAATTTTTTTAATTTTTTTATTTTCTTGATTATTGATTAGTTCGAAAAATGTTAACTTTTTTCCCCACCTGAGTTCATCGGTTTTTGTAGATTTTTCGGTTTTGAATCCAAATCTGGCTGCAGAATTTCTCTACCACGTCAGAATTTTGAGATATCTTAACCTCTAAGTGTAAAAACACGGTTTATTAAAAAATAAAAATTGTACAAAGCTCAACAAAAATATTAAAAATAAAATGTTAACTAGCCACAATAACATTGACAAACAATTGTTTCGCTCATTTCTACTTAGGGTATCATTAAGTATTACTCTTCCCCTTCAAAATTCAATTTCGTTTGTTGCGATTCGATTGTTCTTTCTCCAGATGTACCAGTTTTAATGTGCAGTACTTCGGTATT